CCAGGCACACACTGGGGGTGCTGCTGTAGGAGCCCCCAGGATGGTCCTCATGGATCCAAGTCCTGTGGATCCTAGTGCTGCATCCCGCAAAACGCTGCTGGCTTAGACCTCCCTGCGCCAGAGCAACGGCCACTGGTGAGCCTGAGCCTTCCCTGGGGAGCCCATCCAGTGCCACCTGCCAGCCCTGTCCCTGTCCCCTCACGGGGTCTTGTCCTGTGTCACCTGCTTGATCTGCCGACTGTGCACCAGGTGCTGAGCACCCTCGGCCACATGGCTCAGCCGCGTCTCCAGGGCACTGCGCAGGTCGTTCACCTTCACATCAGGGAGGGGGTTCAGGCCGATGAGAACCCCTCCAGCCCCTTGTGCTGCTGCTTCCTCCTCCTCCTCCTCCCCCTCCTCTTCCTCCTTGGGAGGCAGCAGGTCGCGTCTCCTCCGGCGCAGGTCCATGCCTGCCTGCAGCTTCAGGTCGCGGTTGGGCTTGGCGTCGCGCTCTGGTTGAGGATCCTGATGGATAGCTGCTCTGTCCTGGGGCTTCAGAGCTGGAGCATCCTCAGGGCCTGTTCTCCTGTCAGCACCATTGGAGGGACCCCCAGCCCCGTGGCCCTGCCTGCCCTGCAGCCCCCCTGGAGCCTCCCGGGCTGTGTCCGGCCGTGGAACAAGTGGATCCTGCTGCCGCGCGCCTGCAGCTCCCTCGGCATCTGTCACTCTCCGCCGCTCCTGGGGGTGCTGCTCCTTGGGGTGCTGTTCCTTGGGATGCTGCTCCTGGGGAAGCTGCTCCTTGGGATGCTGCTCCTTGGGACGCTGCTCCTGGAGGTGCTGTTCCTTCGGGTGCTGTTCCTTGGCATGCTGCTCCCGTGCTGCCACATTCCTATGACTGGAAGCGTCCGGCGCCACTGCCAGGTCCACCTGACTCAGAGCTTTGGCTTTAAGGTCTATTCCTGAGTCTCTTTCCAAACTCCTTCCTGCTCCTCCCTGAACTTTGGCAGCCCCTGGCTGTTCTCTTTATTCCACGGCTTTCAGGGAATTCTTCTGCTCATGGATGTCTCTTCCAGCTTTGGCTTCACGATCTCCTCCCAAATCCTCTGCCAAAGGCTTCTTCTCCAGGTGGTTTCTGGCTGGTGGAAGGCGCTGGGCATCGCCGTGGAGGAGATCCCTGTTCTCTGGGGGATTCCTAACAGCTCTGTCATTCTCCTGCAGCAGCACTTTCCGCT